ATACTAATACCAACAGATGCCAAGTGGGAATCACTTCTTACACCACACGAAGACGACCCTGAACATGAACAAGAATGATTCAGAGAATCACTCTCAGACTTGTTAGAACAAAATGGGCAGATACCCCCAGATGTACACTGCAATCTACCAGATTCAGTGGTAGAAATATTAAGTCAAGAGGTCAAAGCTAAGAACATTTGTCATGCTAAAGTGAATTTTGTAATACATACCACAAACAGATGAAAATGTTCAGAAATGGGTCAAAGATGGACACATATACAGAAGAACAACATCCACACAAGTGAACCTGCCACTACTATCCACGGGAGAATTTGAACAAACAGGCCTGTTAAAGAAGGTCCACATATGTTTAGACTTGAGAGAAGTAAATTATCAACATGGACAAGACAAATTCGTTTTACCAAAAATAAAGGAAGTACTCCACAACCTACAAGGTGCGCAGTTCTTTTCCAAATCGGGCTTAACGGGAGGCTTCCACCACTTGTACATGAAAAGAGCCAACACTTCTTCACATTTTCATAGAGAAGAGCGCAATACTCATTCAAGTCAGGTCCATTTGGACTACACTCGCTAACAGCACAATTCCAAAGAGTGATGGCCAACCTCCTAATTGGCATTTAAAGAGGTACAAGTATACGTCGATGACATAGTCATCGCTAGTATGACAGAAGAAAAACATAGACAAACAGTACGCGAAGTCATCAAAAGACTTAATGCTGCCAACTTCCGGCTAAACCATAACAAGTGTGCGTTTGCAGTCAAGACAGTCAATATACTAGGCGTCAAAGTAACCACTAAAGGGCTCAAAACAGACCCAGAGAAACAGAAACGCATGATTGACTGGCCTTTACCAAGAACCAAACGTGACTTACATCGAGCCGTCGGTCTAGCAAATTTCATGCGAGACCACATACCTCAGTTTACACACATAGCGAAACACTTCCGCAATCTCATGAGAGGCAAAATGAATCAAAATATAGCCAATCTTTCACCAGAGCTCATTGAGAAATGGAAAGAGCTCAAAGATGCCATTGCATGCTCAGCAACTTTGGCGTGCCCAGTAGATGGAGTACCATTTCAGATCATGAACAATGCAAGTGACTATGGCATAGGGTATATGTAGATGGAATTTGAAGAGATTTGCTCTATTTCTCAAAAGGGCTCAACCCTGCACAACAAAGATATGGGACAAATACTAAAGAGTTGTTAGCACTCGTATGCAGTCTAGAACATTTTTCAGAATACATTAAAGGTGGCGATATAACATTGTGGACAGATCACAAAGCGTTATGCCAAATGAACAAGCAGCAAACGCTGCATCCCATGCTCGCGAAATGGATAGCATATTTTTTTTAGCCAACACTTCACATCATACACGTGCCAGGAAAAGATAATGAAGTGGCTGACAGATTGTCACGACTACACGAAGACACATTGAAGCCAATGAGCACATACACAATGGTCAAGATTGCACTGGCCTAGAAACAAACATGTCTATCCTAGTGTCGGCCATAGACTGGAAACTACATCCACGATTCTTTCAAGATGCAGAAGGCCTGTTTGGTAAATTCACCATCGATTTATTTGCAGCCGCACACAATGCTCAGACTCTACACCAAAGAACAAAGTGCGCTCCTACAAAGGTGGGCAGATAAAATAAATGCATAGGCGAATCCTTCCTGGCAACTAATACCAGACGTGTTAGACAAGGTCATAGAGAAAGCCACAAGCATTACAATATGCGTCCCGTACTACCCAAACGCAACATGGTTCCCCAAATTCTTGTCATTACTTGAACAAGATCCGATGATATTCGAAAACCTAAAGAATGGCACAACAGCCTTGTGGCAAACCGTGTTAGAGTGCAATGAAGTCGAATTTATATAGAGTGCAAATGTATATATTTATTTCTGACCTCACCTTTGGTTTTATACCTAAGGTGTTTGTGCTAGTGTTCAGCCGCTTGGGCTGGCCAGGGTAAAAACTCATATGGTCAGTATAAGAAACCTTATGCGGAACACTTTAACACTTCGACGCTTTTCTATTTCAACTTCTCTGCAACTAAATCTCACGCGGATCACATGATGCCTTTCCGCATAGGTTGTGACTCATATAGAACCGCAGCTATTATTAGAATATTACGGTTGACAGGCTTAATCCACTCTCGGGAATCGGTTGAGATACATAATCTGCTCTCGGAAGTCGGTTAAGTAATAACTCAACTCTTGGGAGTAATTTGTGCAACTTGATTAGTTCTCGGGAGTGAGCTAACTCTGACGACTTAGCTCTCGGGAGTGAACTAACTCTGATGACTTCCATAAATCAAAGATGGTTTCTTGCTGTAAAATCTGGCTGAGGTAGTCTCTCACTCGCCCTCAATTTTACAATCAACAAGGGCTGAAGTCTGAAGGCTGAGTGGCTTTCTTGGAAAACCCAGACAATTCTATCCGAGAATAGTGAAGGAATCCCAACAATATTGACCGACCCGACCCCGTCTAGAGGCAACCGAAGGACACCCAAGGAATCACTGAGGCTTATCGGATTATCAGCCGCACCTTTTCTCCACTACTATAGACGGAGATCAGCCAATTCATTGATAAGCCGTGGGAAGCTTTTGCCGTACTGAAACACAAGTTTTAAGCCCTGACCGAAGATGATATCCAGACATTAAAAGGAAAACT